AATGTCGCCTATAGGAGCGGGAGCCAGCGAGATGCTGCTCCACAACACTGCGGAAGAAAAGGGCTCTGAGGACGAAGCGGTGGATTTCCGTCCACAGAGTGTCCCGGTCTCGGTCCTTCTTCTTGGCTCGTCTTAGATCCTTCTGCGGTGACGGCGAGGAATGCGTAGTGCTCGCAGTTGTTAGGGAAGCTCTGGAGTCTTTGCTCTGACTGCTCCGTGCGCTCTCGAGACGCGCTCCGCACGCCCCCAGGTTCAAGCCTCACCCAAAAAAACACCATGTGTCCTCTTCTCAGCCTCTCACACCACAGGGACATACACGGAAGATGGAAGCAGCCAAGACACGTGGAACGAAGACCCGTGAGCCTGAGGGCAATGATGATGCAACAAACTCCGGCAGAACGGGTGACAGAGGTTGGCAATTGGCAAGTCAGAGCAGAAAAGAGCGCTCGTGTGGCCGAGATGGCCTCCACTGCCTGGCGAGGATATGGAACACTCCGAGCTCCTGTGCGAGATCGACTCCTGAGAACAGCGGCCAGTGTCCTGCGGCGGCACCAAGGAAAAAATGCAAAGAAGAGGACTTAGGACAGCAACTGTTACTTCATAATGCTCGCTCGAAAATTGTTGGTCCATGACAGGGGCGGGCTGCGGTGGCTGTGGCTGCGAAGGCGGAGAGCGTATAAACTCCACCCATCCTGAGCTCAGCTCTTCTTGCAGACTCCCCGGTGGCAACAGCTCTCTGGACTCGGCAAAGACTCTGTCCATTTCCGCTTCATCGCGAGCCCTGAGCGAGAGATTGGATAAAGCTTCTCCGCCGCTTCTGTGCTGAATGTAACCTGAAGGCAAACGTTCGGCATGTCCAGTGCTATCACAAGCTCCACTAAAGACAAAAGGACGGAGCGCGCGGAGCTTGTGACCGCAGCTTTCTGCAGGCAGAGAGACCCACCCTGAAGCTGTGAGCGCGCGGGTTTCGATTGAATACCTGCACGATCAAAGCCAGGTTGGGCTGATTAGATTGCGAATCGGTACTTCTACAAGACTTGCATGAGATTGGGATGCTTTGGTTGTGCGGGCCTCTGTGCTACCCAGCTCAACACTGCCACAGATGTCTCCAACCAGCATCTCTTCCGGACTGCGGAACCATAAGAGCCAGCGAGACCCAGCCCGCAAAGACGCAGAGCAGCGGCTTCCATCTGACATCCTTGAAGCTCCACGGCTTGTGGTCGAGGGTATGGTCAAGATTACCACCCAGCGACACTTCCATGTGAAGGCGCTGCACACCTCCAGCCAACCAGCACCTGCACGCATCGAAGCCGCCTGGAGCGCATTCTGCCACAGGAAGGATGCTTGCAGATCTGGCGCTTGGAACCTGAAACTCATCTTGTTCGTACAGCCAGGCTTCGCCAGACAAGTGATCTCAAAGTCATTTGGTGACTGTGTCGGGCCGATCTCGGCCCCAATGAGTGGCAAGCAGCGCACTGTCTCCGGGTTCGCCATGCTCTCGCTGTAGCACAAGACGCCGAGCTCAGACACAGTGACAAAGACCTTGCGACTCCGGGTCCCGTTGATCCCGTCGTGCATCAAGAGCCAGGTTGAGCTCGGGCATTGCTGGGAGGCTCCTGCCAACTTTGACGCGCTCTTCAACAAACGGCAGTGACTCCCAGCCAACACTCGAGTAGAACATAGTAGAATCGAGTGGGTTCTTGCGGAAGGGAGGGACTCCTCTCGCCAGGTCCGAGAGCTCTGCAGGCCCGAGCTGGCCGACGACCTGTCGCAGCCAGGCCGCCGCTCCTCCGCAGAAGCGACGAAGAGAAGCGGAGACAAAAGGTTCGAATTCGAAAAGCTTCTTTGCCGCTACTCGTTGCAACTCACTGGATGCTGGGAGGAGCACTGGCACCACATCGAGGCGTCTGCTGCGGGATGAGGTCCACTCCTCGCATCTTCTGGCTTCTAGCAGAAACTCGAAGGCTTGTGGGCTGAGGGCCGGACGTGGTGTCATCTCTTCGCACTCGGAGACCTCGCTGAGCTCGGTCAAACGACGAGCCACCGGCGGGGTGGGAACAGGTGGAGGCGCAGGAGATGGAGCGGGAGCTGGCTCCTGCACAGCACAGGAGAGCCCTGATATCAGATCAAGGTGTGCGAGCTGGCGGCCTCGACATCGACGGTGCCTCCGTAGACCGTGGCATTGGCTCGTTGCTCTTCTCGCAGCTTTCGGATATCTTCAGTCAGCTGCTCAATCGAAGTTGAAACATATTTCAGGCAAATGCCTGCTGCCTCCGACACTCTGTGCAGCTCAGCCTGCAAGGTGCGGATTGACTTGGCATGGAACCCACTAGACTCATCGGACTCATCGGCCAGAAGCCTCATGGCAACGTAGTGTAGCGCTGTAAACTTTGGAAATGGGCCGCTGTGATGATCGGCTCGAAACTCATTCAAGTGAAGGAGATTGGCGATGTCAAAGGCACGCGCTTCTGCCCGATCCACTTGGCCATAGTTCACATAGTTGTACATCACGAGAACGGTGGCTAGGACGTGCTTTAGGCTGCTGGACTCACGCATCTGGGTGCAGGCCTCTCGCACGGCCTGCATCTGTGCCATAAGCCGAAGCTCTTGAGGCTGGAGGTTTGCAGCCAAAATTAAGGCTTTCAACCGCTCTTGAAGACGCCCAAGCTGGCTGAAGGGCACCATTTGCTGCTCCACGTCCCGCAAAGGGGAGGGGCACGGTCCCTTTGCCTCTCTGTCGAGTTGGGACATCAAGGACGCCTCGGGCATCATCTGGGCCAACCGCTCGAGCTGGTCCTGGTCCAAAGGCCCGGGTTCTAAGCATTTCACAGCTTCGACGAGCTCTGGGCCCCGCAAAGCCAGGCCACGCAGGACTATTTGGCAGTTCCGGGCCACGGCATCCGGGAAGATTTTGCGCGGGGTCGCGCTTGGTGCTAGGGACACTGTACCCGAAGTTGCTCCACTGCCAGGAGACGCCTTTGTCTCTGAGAACAAGGAGCGCAACGTGTCGATGTCCTCCTGCGCTTGTCCTGCTCTTTTGGCAAAGAGTCCTTGGAAGATGCTGGGCTGCTCGCCTCGAGCCGTCTGTGGAAGCGCTCCGGAGTCCCGCATGTTCAGTCGCTTTCCGAAGGGCAGCGATTTTGCTGAGGCCTTCGCCTTCGGCTGAGCCTTGCCCTTGCCCTTTGCGAGAGGAAGCGGAGGCACGTGACCTTTCCCTTTCCCAGGGCCTTTAGAGGCTCCCTTGCCGCTTGGAGGAACCGGAGGGCCCTTGCCAGTGCCTTTTCCACTTCCACTGCTTGAGGACGACGCTGTCCCCTTGCCACCGGGTTGGGCTCGGGACTCTGATGAAGCTGCCAAGTCCTGATGCTGAGCTCGAGGTGCTTCTCCTGCGGCTGCACTTCGCTGGATGGGCAACGGGGCTTGGACCTGCGTGCTGCTCGCCAGGATTCGCATCCACGTTTGTTTGCTGCTCTCGTCGAAGGCCTGCATGGCCACTAAGCGCGTGCCTTGTGGACTGAGGTGCTCCATGACAAAGCAATGTGGACGCCCATACATGCCATCAGGTGCCTCCCAGATCTTGCCTATTGCAGCGAGCTCAAATCGCTCGCTCACATCCGCATAGTTGTAGGCATGTGGGGAGCAAAGTACCGAATTCTCCTGTCCAGTCCAAACAGAAACCCATCGAGATCTCCAAATGCGGAGATGCTTGCTGCATTTCCGAAGCCAGCTTTCGTGGATGAGGTTTCTCTTTGGGTCGTTGGAAGTCGCTGGAGGCTCCATCATGCTATCATCCCTCATGCACTTTGCACCGCTTCTTCAGAACTGCTTCTGGTCACTGCTAGCTAGTCTGCGCATGTCCAACCTTGATGCAAGTTCTTCGCATGCTTGCGCGTACTGTTAGCATTGCGGCTGCTCTGAAAAATATGCGAGCAGGAGCTGCAGTTGCTTCTGTGAGCCTACATGTTCCTCCATGTGGCTCACGGCCGCTGAGCAAAGCTCGGTGGAGCCCGGCGGCCACAGGTTTCTCGCATGACGGCAACGGACCCTACCGCAGGGCTTGGACATGAACCCGTTGAAACTCGCAGCGCTTTAGAGGCACGATGGCGAGGCAAAGCAAATCAGCAACACACACTGGTGCAGCATTTAACCGCGAAACATGTCTGGCAGGCAAGAGCGCATCTAAGCAGGTCATCTTCGAGAGAGCAAAGGGAGCAGCAGCTGGCGTAAGCTGCCTGCTCAGCACGCAGCTTTGACAATCACTAAACAAAAATATGACGGCACCAGAACCAATGCAGTCTTTCCATCAAACTCACCTACATGATTATCATCCTAGTGTTAATTAAGATGATCAGGGAAGGCTGGAAGCAGCTCGCGCTCTGCCGGAAAATGCCTTTCAAAGGGAACGATCCCTCCTTGCAAGCCTTTGAGGACCCAAGAATCGCTAAGTACGCTGTGAAACAGACTGTCCATCTTTCTGAGCAAAGACGGTGATACCTGGGTCCTCGTCGGGGTGCAGGCCGCAGCTTCCTTGGCTCCGCGCCGCTTCCCGCGAAGCCGCGCCGGCGCTGAAGCCGAGAAAGCTGAGCCTCCGCTTGCTGAGCGGGGCACCCCACGGCCTGATGCTGTCTCGTTGCCTGTCTTTATATCGCGGCACGACTCGAACCTACACTGTTATGTGCACACATGGCTACGTGGACATGTAATTGTGTGTGCACACATTCTTGGTTACTATCAGAGAATCTGTCATCAGCTAGCTATCCGCGTTGCGATCGCTTCATGTTTGCAGACATGTGGTTGTTCTCATTTTATCCCAGGGGCGGCTCGGAAGCTGCACCCGTTGCCAGTTGTATGCAGATGTGCAAAGCTCAGTGGGCTAAGCTCAGTGGGCTCTTCGGACACCTGCAGCGAAGGGAAGCTGCAAGCCATGCCATGCATAACGGAGCATCACAGGCTGTCTGACACAGCACGATTCACGCCTCAACGTCTCACGAAGTGTGCTGCTAGTAGCACTTGGTGATGATGCCAGAGCCTCGGGGATCGCCAGTTAAATCAACATAGCTCGAATTAGAGCAGCTGTAGCGACTCTAGCAAAGCACCACGGTGCCAGCCTACCGTGAGACCGCCTTCCCGGAGAGCAAAGCGCAGCCTTGTTGGGATGCACAGGTTCAGGGCCACCGGCGAGCGATGGAGCGATTGCGACCGGGGCCACCACCCTTCCTCCAAAGCCATGGGCTTCTCGGCCGCCAGGCCTTGCTCTAAGTCTACTCGTTCACACCGAAACCCTGTGACAGCGGCTCAGGCGCCGGCTGATGGAGAGGGAATCCCCCGGCATGGCCATTTCAACCTGGCATCGTGACAGGCCCACATCCTGCCCGCTCGCTGCCATTGTACGGTTCAGCTCTTCAGCTCTTCCAATTAACTTTGGCAAAGCCGGCACTGTCGGGAAGCTGCACTTCCACAGTCACCATGCCCGTTCGGATGAATGCCTGGGATACTTCCCTGCTCCATGAATGTAGTACCCATAGGCGCGAGCGGCAGCATGATATACAGATATTTCATGTCAAACGGCCTGTGGTCTATAGTTGGAGAAGAAAGGCTTCTTGCGTCCACCTTCGTCCTCCTTAAGCACCTGCAGTGGTCAAAGGGATCTCTCCAAGTAGTACTGATCTCTTGGGTCCCCCACGTAGATGTCTGCATCAAACTTAGAGAACCTCAAGGACGATGCCCACATGGCTTCAACAACATCTGCACCCCTGCGACAAGGTCGAAGCGTTTTCACAGTCCCGGCAGCACACAGAACCTGACAGGGGCGCACAGGAGCACGCAGCAAGCGCAAAGGCTGCAAGAGTGCGCTTGCCTGCCCTCGCAAGATCTCGTTTCTCTTGATGCCCTTCAGCATAATTCCACACCTGGCAACACTTCAATTTTCGTCTGCAAGGCAGCATCCATGACAGCTCTGCCGTTCACGGACTGAGCAGCAGGCTGATCGCCAGACTGGCCCTCATCCAGTGTTTTGTGGAACATCTCTATGCCAGAGATGGTGGCCTTCGCGGCCTTGTCCTGCGAAAATCCACTCGGACAGCTGGACGAAAATTGAGACGACTCAAAGAACGAATCTGTGACACTGTTCCTTGACCCCGACAATCTCGATCGTGTCACCCGTCTTCGCAATGCCACGCTCGATTTTGCCTGTGGCAACTGTGCCCTTCCCCGTGATGCTCATCACCTCGGCTGACACCAAGCGCGAAAAATCTCAGCTTTTCAGAATTCAGTCAGGCTGCACTCTCCACGCCCATGAGGAAGGGCTTGTCCACATCCCTCCCACGGGCAACTTAAGCTAGGGGAGGCTCGTGCTTCGAAGAAGAAAGCTGGTGCCTTTCTGGATCTGGGAAGAACGAATCGACAGCTTCCATTAGCCTGGGTTGTCTCCATTGGCAAGAACCGTCTCCGGGTGCACGAGGCTGACATTAGGGCAAATGGTCCCAAGCGCATGACTTCTTGATGGCTGGGACACCATATTCACCAGTGTCGCCGTTCAACGCTTTCAGTGCAGCACCCCGGATGAATGGCCTCGAAATCAGATCAAGCATGCAACTGCCTAACTCAGCCTTGACAGCCAAGTCGAGCACGTATCGTCACCAGGGAACGAATACATATCCAGCATTTCTCGCACCTGCTGGCAAGCTGACATCTGCATTATCCGGGCATTGGGCATGAAGCTTCGCTCGGTCACACGGCCCGCCCGAAGCTGTTTACCTGCGCAAACTGCCTGCAAATCTGGGGTGCCCTGGCATGCCTTAAAATCGACACACGATGGCACCAGGTGCATCCGGAGAAACACTGTGCAAGGACCCGAGTCGCATGATCGCATCCGGCAGCGACCGGTTCTGCCAAAATTGTGAGATTCAGATCTTTTGTACAGGGCGGAACACAGGCTGGGGCCGACTTGGGCCGTCTGGAGGCTTGTAACTCCAACTGTACAAGTTCCCTGCAACTCTTTCCCGTGTCAAAAGCACGGCAGTTGCAGGTCTTTGCCGAAGGCTGCCGTCTTGGCAGGCCGAGAGATGGGTGAAGTCTACAGCAACACATTTCGAAGCCTTGGTCAGGGCAACGTCAAGCAATGCAAACAGGACAGAACTCATCTATGCACAGTCTATCTGAATGTAAGTTGCTCGCTGCGTCCCAATGGAAGGCCTCAGCGGCGACACCTGTCTGTCCATCCACAAAACTTTGTCCTGAGCAGCTTGGAGCAAGACCGACTGAACTGATATGCGCCGGCATACACACCCAACGTATCTCATGCCACAAACCCCCGTCGTCCTCCTGGCGGGAGATGCCAGATCAGGAAAGCATCGAATTCGATTCTGCACAGCCGCTCAGATAACAGGAACAGCCTCCGGCGACGGATAGCCAAGGCATCGAAGGTTGCTGCCCAAACTCACGGGAATAACATCTTGCTTCAGGCATGGAAGCCCTGTCCTCCCATTGACTCCTCCTGTTTGCATGGAGCAGCGCGGCATCCGTCAACGGATCCGCATGCAGCCACAGCCCACTTGACAAGTGCCTTGCGGTGCAAACTATGCGCAGTGAAGGCCACTCGAGCAGGGCCAGGAAGCCAAGTCAGACTGCCAAGGGCTAAGCCGAGCTGCCTTAGTGTGGCATCCGGATGCCACTTGAAGGTGCTGTGAGCTTGGAGACCTTCGGCTTCGCATGGAAGAGGATGCGGAGACCCTGCGTAAACATAGTAAAAGGAGCAGCTAGACGCTGACACGTCACGTGAAGAACGACCACAGCCGGGCCTGCTGCCAGCGAGGCGTACCAGCTCTCAAAGAAGTTGTTGTAGCCAAGGAAGCAGCCAAACGCCGGCAACCCTTCGTGTGCGAAACCCAGCCATGCATCCTGTCGGATGGTTGGTCTTTCAGGTGTGGCAGGCAACCCTGTCTGATCTGTCTGCACGACTGCCTGGTATTCTGCCATGTCTGCATGGACCACGAACAGAGATGCAGGTTTCTCTGTCCTGAGTCGCACGATGCATGCTTTCACAAGTCAGCACATTCAATAATCGTCAGTTCAGTGCCATCGCACGGATTGCCCACTGTAAGACACAGGCATGATGCACTGTATTGCGCTGCCGTGCTGGACAATGATTGACAAATACCTCGTCACAGGAAGCACAAAGTCATGCACTACAGTGCAAAAGCTGCTGACAGGCCGCCGAGAAGTGATCCGGTCTCTGAGAAAGATCCTGTCCTCGTGCCTGCTGCTGTGACGAGTATGACTATGGCGGCCTTTTGTCGCAAAGCCCACGCAGCATGCAACATCAACTCAAGAACTGAATCGAGAGCCCATGGGTCCCAACCCAACCGCCGCTCGCCTTGGAGCACTCTCCTCGTGAATCGCCAACAAAGGCGGCTGCCTCAGTTGGGTCAAAGCTTCCGCCTTGGAGGTGGGTCGGACAGCCTCGAAAGTCACAGCAGCATCGAATACAGTGTCCGAGAAGGGTCTTGTTCAGATGCCGTGTTGCAACGCTTCTGTCCCTGCTCCCCCTGGCAAGGCTTGTCTGTGCCGCTGTGCGGCTGTGGCACTGCTCCCGTCACAGGAGCATTCAGCGTGTTGTGCCGTTCAAGCGCTACGTGAGTGACCTGCGCAGCCTCAACTAATCGAGACGGTGAAACAATGTTTGCTTGTTGCTCTCCCATCGACTTGGAAGGATATGACCCGACATCGTGATGTGATGCATGTTGATCATGTCGGCACGTAAACAATCGGCCTTTATCAAGCATACGACATGAACAGAAACTGCAGAATTTTTGCACGAGTTGGGTGCTGGTGAGTCGTCGTTGCTTTAATTGGCATTGGTTGAATGGGCGCGTAGTCGAGGCCCAGGCACACGACCGTCTGCGCCGGCCACTTCCACCACTCGCGAGTGTCATCACCTTGCAAAAGCACGGCAATGTATGGCATAGATGCCGTTGCAGGGCAACACTTCTCTCCTATTAGCACGGCAGAGGAACCCACACTGCACACAAGGACGGCTCACACATCCGAACGTGTGTCGTTCAGTATGGGCTTCATGGCAGAAGCCGCGACTGGTCTAGGATAGGGCAGCAGTGCGCAGCAATGTCGAGGGCGAATTAATAATATGCTGGCAAGGAACATTTTGCCAAGATGCCACTGTCCTGCTCCTGTGCGATAGGTAACGCAACAGGCCTTCTCTGCTGCCCCATCTCGTCTAAGCCTAGCTTACAGCATCTCTTGAGGCTTCTCCAATGTGACAGAAAATTCATCTCCGCCCTCTAGACTGAAAATGCATCAATCAGCTTCGAAGCATCCTGTCAGCACTCTTGTAGGCCGAGCTTGATGTGACACCATTCCAGATCTGAGTCACGAATCACAAGCCACAAGGCAGTCGTCTCCTTCCGCCGGGAGCGCGGCTTCCGGCGGCCCCGGCGAGGCCTTGCCTTGGTGCGTAAGCTCGACTTCTGCCAGTGAACTTTCGCATACGAACTACGTGTCTTTAGAGTGTCAAAATGTGTCAAATGACTAACAGCACTTGGAGTTCGGATGCAAGCGCCCATTAACGCCTTCTGCACGATCAAAGGAATAATCTGCACCCGAACTGAGAACCCTAGATTGGAAGATTGGGATTGAAGGGTGTGGGAGTATGTAGTCTTCTGGTTGTCTGTGCAATGGCTTTCATCCCTCCAGCTTCGAGCTGCAGGCAAGCTGCACAAAAGTTGCTCAACATCCGAGGTGCCCAAGGCTGAGTTCTGCTTCGCTGGAGCCAAGAGACTGGGCAACGCCAAAAAACCGCGAGGCCACACCCGAAAGACGGATTCTGAACATGGGCCCTTAGTGCACGGGATCACCTCCAGTTCGACAAGATCGACAAGTTCCATGTCTTCGACCATGTCCTGGCACATACGGACGCCGGGACCGATCTGCGAAGTGTTCGAAGGAGGCAAATCTTGCTGCAGCGACTTCTCTCCTAGATAGACAACACACACACACACATAACAGTGTCCTCCGCTGCCTAGCTACCCATGCAGGACTCTGCAGTGTCTTGCAACATGTCTGCTTGTCGATGGTTGCTTGACAAACATGCCCGGCTAGGCCATCTTGTTCAAGAACACCACGATGCTGGGCCTTGAGCATGGGTGCAATCCGAAGGGTCAGGCAGTTCGTGGGCTTGTGTTCTGACAGCATCATGGCTGGCCTTTCATCCAATACCGTTACTGATCGCTCTGTCTGATGAGCAGCCATGGCTGATCAGCTGGTCACGACTGCCAATTCCTACTTCGGCAGGAACGACGGCTTTCCATGTTCCACCCTACGCTTTCATGCAGGTTCATTAGTCCGTTGTGGTGGCAAAGTCAAGTCGGGCGTGTAAGTGCCCTAACTTCCGGTACACCTTTGGTGCCGGCCTGCCACAAGCAAATCATTAATCTTCGTGACTCTTGAAGGATTAGCTTCAGCTCTGCCACACATCCGGGCACGTGGATTTCATGAAGTACGACGGCTTCGACTGTACTACCTTTACTGCATGTGCTCGTTTCGGGCTGAGCGAAGCGTCTGGGGGGAGTACGAACTTACAGGCAGACACCAGGGACTTTATGCCTGTCGGGGACCTTCGTGAAAGAAGGCAGACCTAATCTGTCCTAATTTCCTCGGCTCAAGAGAGACGCACAGTAACGAAGATATTCGGCCATCGGTGCATCGCTGGAAAAGCTGCGCTGCTCCTCAGTCTGACCGCAACTCACGACAGGTAATGCACCAGGATGCGAAGTGCAACCAAGCCTCACTAACATGTGCAGTAAGTCGCAAGTGAATTTGCGAAATTTCGGCTTCACCTGGGCGAGTCGCGCGAGCGACGCAAGAGTCTGCCGTTCTAGATTGAAGGGGAACGAGAACTTCTGATATGCCTGGATCAGTACTGCTCACAGCAATGGTGTGAGCTTACCAGAGCAACTCTGGCTAACTAAGCGGGCAAATTCCAACGCAGCTGAGGATCGGATTTGGCTGCGCAGCTGGTTGTTTGGAATCAGCTTTCCTGGAGGCATGGCAGCCGAACCACCAACTAAAGAGCAGCGAACCACACTTTTTCAATACGATCCTTATGATAATTATGCTAATGGCGGTCGTTGTTATTAGCAGCTGCCAAATTGTGTGGCGACATGTTCTGTCTGGCTCTTCAGATCGGGCAGGTTTCTGTCCGCCGGTCTTCTGAGCTCGGTGTTGTTGAGCGGGTCTCTGTAGAAGTGCTGGAAGTGCCTTTCGATCGACTTCCGATCGTAAGTGTTGCCACTTCCCGTCACAATGACGGGATCCTGCATGATCTGCATGGAGATCGGGCACAGGAACTGCCTCACAATTTCTGGTGCTCTCTGGGTTCATATCCTCTTAGCTTAAGCTTTTTCAGGAGAAGAAGCTGGGCTGCAGGCTGACAGAGCGCTCTGGAGGACGTCGGATGCTGGGCTTGCAGGTCGCCCACAAACTGCCTCTCGTCAATGTCCTCTCAAAATCTGTCTCTAGTTGGTATACCAAATGTAACTTAAAGCTAAGAGAAGTGCCAAAACAAACACAACAAACACAAAGCGACCGACGCCCAAGGAAAGCACCGAGGAGGTCCTTGGAGTCGCTAGCTCCCCGGCGGCGCTTCTCGGGTGGAGAGCCCGGGCTGCTCCCGAAGGACTTCCTCTTCACCTTCGACAGCATCGCTGCCACCTGAGCAAGTCGAGTTCGGCAAGTCCAAGTAAGAACACACACTGTCTCTTCTTCTCTCTCTCTCTCTGTCTGTCTCTTTCTTTCGGAAGGGATATGGGCAAAGGGGAAATCCCCCCTGTCTCTCTTCTTCTTCTCCAGGGCATG